GTTTTTAGTGATTGCTTTATTCTTTTCAAAGTTGTCTCATCCCATCACAGTGTAAAGAAAAAAAAACATTAGAAACCAGATGTTCTATTAACCATAGCCATTATCCTTTATTGGATTCCAAAGAGATTTAATCTCTATCCATAAACAGGTGAGGAAGACACCAGTTTTCAACTTAGCTTTATACTAAGGATGCCTCACTGAGAGGCACAACAGGGCCAATGCCCTGTTGTCCATTTTCCATTATAATCCAGAAAAGGCCATGTTGATGGAGGTGGTCCAGTCTTATCAAACCCAAAGTTCCCTTTTTTATAAAAAATATTTTATGATATATTCTCTGATGTCCTATAATGAAATTGATAGATAATATCAAGATACACAATTTTAACAAAAATCAAAATGATGCCTGGGGCTAGAAAGTGGCATAGTGGCTACAGCGCCCAGTTCCCACATGGCTGAGTGTGGTTGAGCCCCAGACTCAGTGGCTTGGGGATTGCACTGGGTATGTGTGCATGCATGCTCAAAATCCTGAAAGGAGAATAGAGAAGGGATTGCAGTGTGGTCATGCCCCCTGGGAGGTGATTTCTCACTTTCTGTCTCTCTGTCTAGTGAGTGCATGCACCCTATGGCAAAAACAAACAAACAAAATGCAAAACAAACAAACAAAAGCCTGAACTGTAATATAAAGGAAGAAAAACAGAGAAGAGTTTATAACTAAATGACATGCATTACAAGACAAATGCTCAGGCACAATGCTGCTTAAAAAATGTAATGAAATAGTCAGATGTTTTCACCTATGTGGAGAATCATGAATGTGACTCTTGAATGACATGCAGATTGACGCAGGTGCTGAGTAGAGAGTTTCAAATAGCACAATTAACATTGATAGTGTGGTTTTTTTTTTAAACAACAGTAGACAGACAAAGTTCCAAACAAACCAAAAATGCAAACTTCCCTTAGTTTACATGGGAATTGCATTTTTGAAAAATCCAATTTAGATTAAGATTATGCAAAAATACCTTGAGTTTAAATAAATATCAGAGTTATAGTCTAGATTTAAGTTATTAAAATATGAATAGAGTTGTTATCTACATGAGAAAATTTGGATCCCAAGCTCTTGTCCAGTAAATGCCAGTGACACATTCTCTAATCATTGTAACATGTTTGCAGAATGCCATCTAGGGTCATTACTATACCTATTGGGGACCACTTATGTGGGCTCGTAGAGGCTTTCAAAGAGCAGAGAACGGGACCAACAGATGGCATAATGGTTATGTTGCTGGACCTCCACATAGTCAACCACAGTTCAAGTCCCAGACCTGGTGGCTTAAGCTCATGCTGGGCATGTGTATGTGTATGTGCATGCCTGGAATCCCAAGAGGAGAATGGAGGAGAGGGGATTGCAGTGTGGTCATACCCTGGGGGGGGGGATGATTTCTCACTTTCTGTCTCTCTGTTGCTCCAGTGAGTGCACATACCCTATAGTAAAAATCTCTCTTAAAAAAAAAAAAAAAAAAAGAGCAAGAAGGAGGAATGTGGGTCTCATAAAACTCCAGACTGCAAATCCACATTTTTTTTTCTTTAGAATCCCTGATTCAACCATTCCCTAAAAAAACACTATTTTGATAAGCTGTCAAGAGAAAATTAGGTGCTAAGAATCTTTATGATCAGCTTCCAGTTTCACTTACATGGAAATGATCTACCCCTAAATGTGCAAGCATTCAAAGTAAGCTTCCTCTTCGAGGTGTTCTGAGATTGCTTTACCCTTGGGGTAATATACACAGTGTGAAGTGCTCACTATCAAGAACTGACCTTGTGGGCTAGCTTTGGTTAAGGCAATTGAGTCCCACATGCACAACTATACGATTTTAGCCCCAGACCTGGTGGCCAGAGAAATATACCAGGCATGTGTGCATGCATACCCAAAATCCCAAAATGAGAGAGATGGAGGAGAAGGGATCGTGGCATGACCATTCCCCATGGCAGGAGAGTGCTTTCTCACTTTTCTTTTCTGTCTCTCTCTGGCAAGTGCACATGCCCTCTGGCAAACTTAAAAAAAAAAAAAAAAAGTGTTCCTTGAAGATGTGACTAGCTATATTTTTGTCTCTATCCTATAAAATTAAATTTGAATATATCAGATATCCTTAAATCTGACCTGGGGCATGAATGGTGAAGTAGTAAAAACACAAGTTTTGATGTCTTCAGTAAGTTAAATACTGTCTTCAAATCTTCATCTTCTCATCTGTAAATTAGGGTTCACAATAGTGCTTGGTACCCAGAGCTTGCTTGCTTGCTTGCTTGCTTGCTTGCTTTCTCTCTCTCTCTCTCTTTCTTTCTTTCTCTCTCTCTCTCTCTTTCTTTCTTTTTCTTTTTTTTTTTCAATGAGATAGTATGAGACTAATCACTTGGTGGAATGACTGACCAGCAGTAAGGGCTCAGCAAATATTAAGCATTATTATTTTAGAGTAGTGGTTATTATTACTGATACAGTTTTTCCTGAAAGGAAATCTGTTATCTGTTTTTTTTTTTTTTTAAGAGAGATTTTTACTATAGGGTACTTAAACTTGCTAGAGAGACAGAGAGACAGAAAAAGCAAGAAATCACCTCCAGAGGAAATGGCCACATCACAATCCCTTCTCCTTCAGTCTCCTCTCAGGATTTTGGGCACATATGCACAAGTGCCCTGTGTGAATTTATGCCTCTGTATCTGGGACTTGAACCATGGTCAACTACATAGGAGTCCAGCAACATAACCATTATGCCATCTGCTGGTCCCAAAACTATTATTTATTTATTTATTTATTTATTTATTTATTTATTTATTTTTTAAGGCAGTAATTTGACTAGGTAACCTTGAAGGAAGATAGAATTCTGCTTAGGGATAGAATTTCTTTTGTTTAGGAAAAACACCCTTTAGACATATTTGGTAATAAAAGGTGAGAGCCCCTCCCCCTCCAACCCTACCAGTACATCTGTGATGGAGGAAGATAGCTCAGTGTAGCAGCATAATAGAATTTTCCTACAAGTTCTTCCTAAGGGAAGACATGGAGGGATATACAAGAAGTATAAAGGGTATTCAATAAGTTCATGGGAAATGTACATTATTAAATAATTAAATGAGTGAATTTTAAATTTTTTTGCACCAAAGTAAACTCATTCTTTAATTAATTTTTTCCACATAGTTCTTGGGAGAGTTCACAGGTGAGAAAAAGAGATCTTGTCAAGATGACAAGAGGCCCATGAGCAGTCAGAAATTCCTGGATGGATTTGTAATAGTGAGGTTTGACATTAAATTGTGTTTTTCTGCCCTGTGCTTAAGGTCCTCCCATTTAATGATCTAAGACACTTAAAAAAGAGTATATGTAAATTAGCCTAGTGTGAATGAAGGGAGAATGGTGTTGTCTTGTCTGGAAAGCGGAGAAAAGTGATGCAGAAGATCATGAACGCAGAAGGCAAAAGTGCTGAGAGCAATTGCAGGGTATGTGGAGCAAGAGGAGGCCTGAAGAACGCTAGTTCCAGGAAAATTCATGGAAATTTTGAGGAAGTGAGATCAGGAGTGATGGTAAACTAAGTTATCCACGGCATGGGGAAAAATTGCAAAGAAAATGTCAGTGTTATTTCTTTAAAACCAAGTACAAAACTCGTGAGCCTTTTTTCTTTTACATTTGGGTAACTTTCTAAATAGTTAATAGGGGGCCTAGGAAAACAAAAATTAAATCACATCTTCCTTTCTTCTTTCTTTCTCCCATTCTCTTTTGTCTCTCTTTTTAAATTTGCCAGAGGATGTATGTGCTTTCTGGAGACAGACAGACAGAAAGAGAGAGAAAGGAAAAATGAGACAGTACTCCCCATAGGAGTTGTCATGTTGCAATCCCTTCTCTTCCACTTCTCCTTTTGGGATTTTGAGTGCCTGAAGCGTTTTTCAAGCAATAGTAGGAACCTGGACTTGAATCATGTGGTTAGCCATGTAGGATTCAGCCAACTTCACCACCACATGTTTTTAAATAACAAGAAGAAAATTATTAATCTTTATACCTGATACTTGTACAAATGTTGCTATGAGTTTGAAATTCACAGTATATATTCAGTAAAGAATTAGAAAGCTTAACTGAAACAAAAACTCAATGGTGAGTGATCACAACCTTACAAAATCTCTTGGGGGCCAGATCCATGCCCTGGTGGTTGGGGGAACTAGGTCCCACATGGCTCACTATGGTTTAAGTCTCAACTCTGGAAGTTTGGGGACCATGTCAGGTGTGTGCATATGCACACCTAGAATCCTGACAGGATGGAGAGGTGGAGAAGGTACTGAGGCATGGTCTCATCCCATTGGGAAGTGCTTTTTCGCTCGCTCTCTGTGGGGCACACACAGTGTCTCTTGGAATGGGAATGTATTAACTGCCATTCATATATTCTGCACCCTAAATGATATGTTTGGCTCTTTTGGCAAGAAAATCTTTTCTCAAATTCTTTGCAACATGGATTATAATTCACTGTTGAATTATAGTGGGTGTGGCCAGTTACTTATACCTGCTTTATCGTTAGTGGCTATATTGTATAATTAATACATCTCTTACATAGTTCACGTAAATCCTTTGAAACATTTATTTTTAAGAATAATCTATAAATGCTATAAAATATCTCCATTTTGGTATATGATTAGCTTTATTTTTCTGGGTAATTTATCATGTTTATTTGTTGCAGTGACCTTAATTAATAAAATTGCTATATAACAGCAGACTTTTAAAGGAATGACACACTACACCAACATTATGCAAAAAAAACAATAATCAAACATGATTAATTTTAATGTAATTACTAAAGAAAGATATACCATTTTATTATGACACTCTAGCCATACATTTTCAAAATATGCTTATTAAACAGTAAATGTAAGATAATGATTTAGTTAGTTACATTTTTAGAAGTCATTAGGATTGATATTCCTCTGCCATAAATGAATTGAATAATAATTTCAAATGCAATCAAAATTAATTTAATAAAAATATGCTTTTGAACTAAAATAGATATAATGAATGGCCGTTCATTATTTTCTGGTTTTAAAGTAGCAGGGAAAATTAATTCAGTGTCTGCAAGTTTATTTATCACACTTGGCTTATAAGTGTGATAAAAATACATGAAGCAAAATACGTGATGTAATCCCAATTCTCATAGTTCATTAACTCTGTTAGCATAAAGAGAACTGACATGGTATTTGGGACCTTTATGTAAACTCACTATAAGCTGCATGATGTTTGAAAGTTCTTGATATTTTGAATAGACACTTGAATGTTACACAGACACAGATAGAGATATGAGTAGACAGCTTGAGGTTTCAGAGTCTCTCCTGCAGTGTGTTTAGCAGCAGGTACAAGATAAATATTCAAACGCAATCAGATTAAGGGATTAACAGAAGTGACTGTGTATGAGTTACTGAGTGGGGTCAGTAAGGGGATTTTAGAGTTCTCTTTCTCAATTTTCCTATTTACATCAGTGCACTAGGTGGGGGTGGGGGGACAAAAGAAATGATAGTGTTTACGTAGGCCTGGGCAATTAAAAAAATAAAGCCAGATTTAAAAGATTGTGAAAGGTCTATGAAGGTTTACTTATTTTGAAGGCGACAGGTGATTCAGCTAAGGTTGTTAGTAGGAGAAACTCTATCTCCATTTTAGTTCACATTTCAATTGGGTAATAATATTGAACTTTTGTGTTCTCTCCTTTTTTCATGAAAAAGTTATCTTTTTCCTTGAAGGACTATATCAAGGATAGTTGAAGGATAGAGAGAGAAAAGGACCATGATTAAGATAACTGAAATCAGACATTAAGAGGAAACATGTAAAATGTATGTTTTTAAAGAGGTTCCTTTAATTCTAGGGTTTCAGCGTGGTCAGCCCTCTGTAAAATTCTGAGACAGATACTAGAAAAAATTAGAACTGGGAGAAATAGAAGACAGTTGCAAAAGTTCCCTGGGCCTCATGTTTTATTGGTGAAAAGTTGATTTCTTTCTTTCTTTCTTTTTCTTTTTTTTAAAAAACCCACATTGTTTCATATAGAATTTGGTTATTTAAATTAATATCTTTATCCTGTACCATATGCACTTAAAGTTTCAGTCTTCTTGTCTCTCTCTTTCTTTTTTAAATAGAAATCACACAAAAAAAGATGTCTATGTATCAGTTTCTAATACCTAACAGGAAAGTCTTATAGAATATTAAAATAGCAAATAGCAAATATATACTAGAGGATTAAACACTAGCATTGAAAGCAAAACAAAACAAAGAATAAAAACAAAGAGTCAGCATTTTCCTTTTGTTTTTGCCCCCTCAAATTCTGGACTTTGTGATAATTGCAGGGGGAGGGGCATAAAGACTTAAAATTTATCTATTTTAAAATAAATGATGTTGTAGCATAAATCAAATTTATCTTTTGAAAACATTGATGAGAAAACCTATGTAATTTGAATGGGAATGTTCTTTCTTGTGAGGAGAGCCAAATGGGTTCGACTCTAATAAATTAGTACAATCTTTTAATGTTAAAAATAGCAAAACATTTTACACAGTCTGATTATAGCTTCAACAAGTCAAACATACATTTCTACCTAGCCTATAGTTTTAAAGAGTCTATGTGGGTTTAACTTATCATACCTCATTCCAATATGCAAAAAAAGGAAAAGGACCAAGTTATTTTTGAACATCAAGATAGTCATAAAGACAGTATAAAGTAAGGGAAAAGACCCAAAAATAAAAAAGAATCTTCACAGATTGTTAGCCATCTCTTTCAACGATTTCTCATAAATTCTTCTTTCTTTATCAGTAGATAACCCTTATCTCATAGGAACTACTTCAACATTTCCCAGTGAGATCAGTGATTTTTATGAGAGCTACTGCTGTTTGAGATGTTTGGGTGAAGGGAAAAAAATCTACAAACCAGTAAATGCCAAAGAATACCCAAGGTGGATGTGGCAGAAACTATTTTTAGCAAGTGAATCTATGTATTTTTTTCTCTTTGTTTTTATTTTCTCCACTTGCTGAATATCTGTTTTAGAGCAGAGGGCACCAAAAGAAAAAAAAATAATAACCATTGTTTTAGTTCTGCCATTTTCCATTTTCCATTTATACTCTGTGCTCTTGAGCAAGGTTTTGATATTGGATAATATATTGCTAATTTGTTGAGTTTGAGAGCCAACAAAATAATAGAGCCTTCAAACTTTTAAACATTTTTATCTCCTGCCCCTGCACCCCTAAACTCACAATTTGGTAAACAGTATGCTACTTGTGAGTGATAAAATGTTGAAAGGTGGTGGTGGCTAGACCTAATGCTATTTTATTAAGCCATCTATCTATAGAATTGTCGTTTTCATACTTTAAAAAAATATGTCTATGCTTTCTTTTTTTTCTTTTTTTCTTTTTTTTAGTCAAGTACTTTCTTAAAGAAACAATAGCACCACATTGGCATAACTGGCCAAACAATAAATGGGAAAGCAAAATGTGCTACCTCCTCCATTCTAAACATCCTCCCAAGTGCATAAACTAGTAACAGAAACTCTGGAGCCACAGTGCATGAGATGGTTTCATCTACACAAACATTGCCATTCCAAGGAGGGGAAGGATTCTCAAGGGAGGCCAGGCTTTTTTTTTTTTTTAAGTAAGATTTTCAAGAAAACTATTTCTACTCAGTGTTCCATTAGATTATTAGTGTGTGTGTGTGTGTGTGTGTGTGTGTGTGTGTGTGTAGAGTGGGTCTTGAGAGTTATCTTTATCCCTTATTTATCAGAAGAATTTTTCTTCTGATAGTGAGATGCATTAACCTTTTCAGTTTAGCTGCCTCATCTTAAAATGTTCACATGATACTATTTGGGGATATGAGAATAAAACTTTGGGCTAGGTATAGAATATTATCAGTTACATTGAACATAAACCTGTAATTTGAAAGCTCATTACCAATATTTACAGTTCTTTAATAAACATCTAGAAATTGCCCCATTTCTAAATTCTAAAGGAAATAATCCTAAAGCAAAAACTTACAGAGTTTTGAAATGTGAAATTTTAGGTGTTCCCTTTATCAATCCTGGGTCATTCTGCTGTAGTTTAGAGTGATAAAGTGATTTTCAGAGTTTACTTTGATTTGTCTTGTAGTGTTAATTTATTTGGAAATAAAATAATGTATTAGTATAATTAGATAATTTTGATTAATTGATTCATGGTCCAGTTAGGTAAAATTATATGTTAGGAATAGTTAAGAAAGAATAATGGCATTACATATTTAAGCTTTTGTCATTGGGGGAATTTTTGACTGTGAACAGAATAAAGTGAATAAAATAAGTCACAGATATTCTTAGAATTATCATATCCAACTATGCTAGAAAACCCATATATCTTCAGAAGACTATCTATAATATTTTTCTAGGGTTAGTAATTTTGAAAGGTACACACTGAGAACAATAAATAAAAATCTAAAGGGCCATCTTGGGAAGAGGAGTCCAGCATCTCATGCCACAGAACCTGTATGTCTGTAAGGCAGGCAGAAGTCAACAATGATGTGGAGTTCCTTTTTCATCTGCCCACAGTGATCTTAACATTGCTCAGCCTGCCTCCAGTGCTTGAATCAAATAACTCTATGGATTAGGACCTTCTTTTTGCATATATTCAGAGATCTATAATAGAGTCTTTTTTTTTCTGGCCTTTGAACCTTGAGGTGACCCAGTGGAAGGAAACTAAAGATGTTATATTTGTTTTTATATATGATTTTCAAGAATAAAATGGATAACCAAGCCTGGGTGCTTTATACTAAGAAGCTCTAAGGCAGATAAAAGATCTGAATGCTGAATGATTCATCATTATAATGAGGAAATCTTAATCCATAGATGGGGAACGTTTTCTAGGCTTCAGTGGGTCTGTCTTCACTACTGGATTTTCTTAATACCAATTTTCATGTTGCATTCCGTTTCCAGATGAATGAATGGAATACACATCCATAGAGAGCTAGGAGCCACCCTTCTAGACAGACATGAGGGGAAATTTCTAGATGAGAAAGAAAGTTTTGTTTTTTAGCTAGCAACTGTAATCAAGTATATGTAACAAAAATTTTAGAAAAGTATATGAGTATATGTATATTCAACCAAGGCTAAGAGTAAAGTTAATAAAGAAAGTAACTTTGTGAGTTTTTAAATTTTGAAGCCACTCTTCTTATATTGTCTAAAAATGAATGACTAAATGTGTTTTTCAAAATGAATAGAGAATAATTTATAACACTAAAAGGAATAGTACTAGATAGTAAACGCCTGGAAGAGTCAGCGCCAACAAATAGAAAAATTATCCTTTTACTGGTAGAACATTTTTCCCCTTATTTTCTCTGTTTTTATTTATACATATAAATCTAAATATGGAATTAAAAATCAAATAGTAAATAAAATGTTTCTAACTTATTTCGAAAGCATCTTCAAAGAGATTGAGCTTTGTAGCATCTAGTAACAAGAAGTTGGACGATTAGTTGTGTAGCTTTGTTGACAAGCATTTGGATGTTGAGAGCAATTGGCTAATGAGTCTTTACTATGCTGTAAATTGGTTATTTATAGAATTCCTTGCATCCTAGCAATTCAAGGGTTCTGATGTTCTACCCTCATAGCAACCCTGGGTAAAAATCTGAAGCATTATCTTCTTAATCCTCGTACCACCCCTTTGAGGTAGGTAGATGATTTATTACCCCCATTTTGCAGATGAGGAAACTGAGGCACAGAGAGGTGAAGTGACTTGCCCAAGGTCACACAGTGGTAAGTCCGTGGCAGAGCTGGCAGATGTTTATCACTTTTCAGTGAGAAAAAGAAGACAGGACTGTTAAAATTCCTAGTCTTCTGCTTTTTCCATTCCACGGCTTCCTCTCTGGACTTGACAAACAAATTTGCATCAGTGGACTTTTGGGTCTTAAATTCCTCTCAGAAGGCATAATTCGGGGGACTTCACCTTCTTTCCCAACTGGATAGATTTTTCATTTCCCTTCCCCTTTGGGTCATCTTTGGCTCTAGGCTTCCCTTTTGTTTTGCTTTCACCTTTTACCGTTTTGGCCAGACTCTTTCATATAACAAACTACAAAATAGCACCATTGTACTAAAAAACAGAGTTTTACATACTGTTTGATATATCTTGTATTATTGATATGCTAAATTTACATAGTGCTCTATATGGAAAAAATAAAAAGAGAGTAGTTACTAATCAGGTTGCACACTAACTCTTCATTTGAAGGAACCGTTGAGAGTTTAAGAGACTTTCTATGTTTAAAACATACACCTAAAAATAATTGGCCTCAAAGTTGCAACTATTTGCATTATTTTTTTTAGCATGATGTGGAAAAATAAAGCTTTGTGTCTAAAATAAATGCATACAACTTATATTTGGTACAAATGCCACAGATGGAATCTCGTGAGTTAAAAATTGATGTGCTACTTGACTACATGCTACTGCTTTTGAGGAGGCCAAATTCGGCAAATATAAAGTTCATGAAGGGGGGGTGGCAATGGTAATAGACAAACAAGATTATCAGACACTGTAAAACAGACAGCCTGTGTTGTGTAGAAATAAGTGCAAATAAGAAAATAATTCATAAACCACTTAGAGAAGGTTGCTGAATGAATGGCTCCAGCAGCCAAGATTCAGAAAGGAATTTAGTGCAACTGGATCTATACAACACCCATGCATTTGTGGCTCTTGAGAGGCAGGGACTAAGATATATATATATATTTTTTTTCTCTATAGAACATTATTGATAAGGGACCAACAACAATCTACCAACTCCAGGACCATTTTTGCAAGGTGCAAGATTTTAACAATAACTCCTAAAGACAACATTGGAATGTTTACTCGTGTATTTCATTGGGGGAATGCCCATCTTTGAACTGTTATCCAACTTATTTTTTGGTAGGTGTTCCAATGTTTAACAGGTAACTTGAGCAGAGCAAAGGATGCTGTGGTGGCATGTCCTTCTTCACTCCTCAGGAGGATTTTCCTACATCCTGAAGTTCTTGTTTCCTGCACTCCCTCTACTTGCGTTCTTCAAATGTACTTCCTACAAACAAGAGAGAAAAAGTGACATTAACTCGATGAGATTATATGTAGCCATCTATATCTAATGTTAGTCTCGACCTTTCATAATTCATGCCTTACCAGTCAGACTGAATGAGAACTTAGTCCTTGTTTTTTTTCTGAGAGAGACATTAATAGGTGGACAGGTCTTTAGTTAATACTTTGGCTAAGCTTCACTCGAGCTACCTCTGTGTATCCCTGGTGGGATGGCTACCACAGATTGTTTTATAATCATAGAAAGAAGCATTTTGAGCCATCTGTCTCTATCACAGATTCATAGGAAGGGATCTTGAAAAATCCACTTTCTGGCCTGCAGCATCATTTTCTAGTAAGGAAATAAAAATAATATTTTGGGATTATCCTTTGCCATTTTATGGTATTTTTTCTGCTTTAATTTTTGAAAAGGGGCTATATTTCATTTTCATTTTAAATTTTATTTTCCTCTTGAGAAAGGCTGCCTAGGTGGTACAGTCCATAGTGCTCTGGTGCAGTACTAGAAATCATACAGGGTCGACCACAGGGCTGGCAGAAAACTTGCAGAGCACATGGGTGGGCACCCAAGATCCTGAGGAACAAGAGGGTTGGAGAAATGGGATTGTGGTGTTGCAAGACCTTTTCGAGTGTGTATGTGCACGTGTGCACTCTTTATTGTTAAAAAAACAAATGATTGAAAAGTTTTGTAATTGATTTAGGCTCTGTAAAATTAGACATATGAAGTTGAACTCAAATTCTAGCTTTTCCATTTTCTATGTAAACTTGTGCAAGTGACAATTGCTTGTGTCTCAGTTTCTTCATCCATAAAGTAGAATACTACTAGTATTTACCTTATAGGATTAGATATTTAAGAAATCAATGTATGTAAAACACATGGTAAACATTATATAGACAGTAGCTGCTTTTATTATTATTATTTACTCATTTTTCTTATTACTACTATATCATCTTTATTGGAAATTAGCCATTTCAAGACTAAAAGTCATGGATTCCTTGCCTCGATGCCATCATTTACTCTTCAATAAGCAATGTTATTGCCTCAGGAATATTGAGTTTTGTTTGGAATAGAAGCTCTATGAGAGCAGAGACAGGTCTCTCTGTTCTCTGTTTTAGTCCTATGTCTTAGAACAGAGTGTAGGATGTTGCCGGTACTCAATAAATACTTGTAGAATGAATTGTTGGGTTGACAGAAAAGTCATGACATATTTTTTGTATGCAAAAATGTGTCATAATTTTTCTGACAAGCCAATAAAATAATAAATGAATGCGTATAAGAGACCCCTTCGTAATCTACAAAACCAAATCATTATACTTATCCTATACTTATTTTTTTATCCTTGAGTATATTTTAAATTGCAAAGCATTTAGACAAATGAGATTTGAAATAAAATGAAGAGACATGGCATTTACTTGCATAAATTTAAAGTACTTCTTTTCTTGGTTTTACGTCTAACTTGAGGGCCTTTGTAAGAGAATGAAACACTGACTAAAGAATGAGATTCAAGGAGCCACAGTATCCTTTAACTCTAGAATGTGTTCTCATCAAGACAAAACAAAATAAAAATAAGAGTTTTCAACAGGGTGATTGGAAACAGCTTCAAACTCTTCCTTCTGACTAAAGTAATGGCACATTCACAATCACAACATTGTTAGGAGAAAAGAGGCCTTAGAGATCACTCAGTCCTGTGACCCATGTGACCTAGAGAGGGTCAGAGATTTTTCTTTTTAATTTTGCTATAGGGTTTATGGACTATCCAGAGAGAAACATAGAGAGGCGGGGAGACAGACAGACAAACAGAGAGAAAGTGAGAAATTATCCCCTAAGGCAGATGGTCATGCTGCACTCTATTCTTCTATCAGGATCTTAGGCATACACACATATGTGCTTGGTGTGTTTTTCTAGAGAGATTTTTGCTATACAATGTGTGCACTCACTGGAGAGACAAAGAGACAGGAAGTGAGAAATCACTCCCCAATGGGATGGCCAGTACTTGAACCGCAGTCTACTACATGGTAGTCCAATGATGTAACCATTATGCCATCTACTCATCCCAGCGTATTTTTCAAACCACTGGGTCCAGGATTCCAACTGTACTGTTAGCCATGTGGGATCCAGCACCTTAACCACCATGCTACCTGTGGGCCTAAGGGTCAGAGATTTCAATATTGAGGGGGAAGAAAAATCAGCTACTATTCCTTGGAAATAATACCTGTTGGACAATAAACATAGGGATTTTGTCATTTTTCTTACACATATTTTGAGTTCTGTCTGGACATATTACAGTTGTCACCAAGATCTGCAATTTTGTCACTTGATGATCAATATCCTTTACAGACTGAATAGTAGGAAGACAGCATTATCATGTAAAAATATTTATTAAAAGAATCTAGCGTGGGAGCCAGATGATGGCACATGATGCTCTGTGAGGGTGATCCACCTGAGAAGGGTTCGGGTTTATGTCTGAAGGCTTCCTTGAGTACACAAGTTGTGTGTATGCCCATGAACTAGGATTGCTGGGGCTGGGAGTGGATTGCAGCATTAGGATCCTGTTGAGAGTGCTGCCTCCCTGTCTTTGTCTCTCTCTCTGTGTGTCTCTCTTGCTCATGGAAGAAATAAATAAACTTAAAAATATATATCTAGTTCAGGGGCTCCTACAAAAAAAGCTGGTGGGAAGAAACTGGGCATTTGTGTAGAATAGCTTGAGATGCCATCTGTTTAAAATTCTGGCACTTTTTCCTCAAATATCATACAACTTTTACCAAGTCCAAGTCCACTTAATATGCATGCTTTGCAAAACATCCACTGTTAAGCTACCTTAAGTAAAGTTGGTGTTCCTAACCTTACATCTTGTTCTGCTCTCTTACAATAGTTCTCTAGAATATCAGAAGACAGACCTTTGGGGCCACTGAGTAGAATCACTACTGTTCCTAAACTCCTGGCAACATTTGTGTTCCATTCTCAACAGACTCTGATAATGGTATGTGGCTCATCAAAACCCCAAAATAGCTCCTATTAAGCCCCCCCTCCACTTTTTTTTTTTTTTGTCTGTTTAAGAGACATTCCAACTAGAAGAAAGATTTTTAAGAATCTGGCATAACCAACTGAAGAAAATACTCAGGGATGAAATGATAATATAGGAAAAGAAAGCTTCATCAGGTGTTTAATCTTCAGTCTTCCTCTCAAACCCAATGAATTCTAAATATCTAGAAGAAAACATTCAGTATCTTCTATGCTTCATTCTTCAAATTCATGAGGGCTGTAGTAAAAGAATTAAGGTCAGATTGGCCAACCAAATAGATCTTATCTTTTGTCTCCAATGGAGAAATTCTTTTTCTTTTCTCTTAAAGCAGAAGGTAAAAAGTGTAAAGTCTGAGCAGAGGGATCCTCTGATCTGTTTCTTTCTGATATGTCTCAGCATCACAGCAAAGTCATGGGTTGAAATTCACTTGAGTGAAGCTGATGCTGCTCCATGCAGTATGGTTCCCAGGCACACACACGAATGGTGGAGGCCATTCAAAACCAGCTGGGGTGTAGTCTGGTTTGCATTTGGCTCTCTTCCCAGGCTGTCACATGTGACTTCTTTGTTGAAGACAATGACAATGACAAAACAAAAGCACTCAGGGACTTGGTCTCAGTTGCATCTGTTGCTTTGCACATTGTCTTAATTTAATTATGCTGGCCACCCTTGACAATGGGCAGCAAGTGGAGGCACATTAGAAGCAGCCGTTGACAGAGCTGGTGCTCACCTTCAATGCACTTCTTGAAGGGTTATGAAACTGTCCCACATTCAGCCAAGCAAAAACTTTTCACTTTAGCAGCTTGTCCAAGACAAACAAACCAGCTGAAACTGTTTCGAGTGTGCAACTAGACAGGTTTTTTGAAGGGAAAACAGTAGTGAGTAAATATGGTTTCCTATTGACACCAGGGAAGGTAAGATTATTATTAAAAAAAAAAAAATGGTCCTCCAGCATTCTGGGGTTGGTTGAAGAACTGACTCTTTCTAAAGGAAGGTTAACCAACACCTTACTATTCAAGTTTGAGGAGGGCTTAATTTATGGTACACATTATTACACTTAGTATATATTCAGAGATATATATATATATATATCCTGAATAGGTCATTCATATTCATCTCTTGGCTCTTATCTGGCTCTTGGCTTTTTTTCTGGAAAGCTAGCCACATCTTTTTGCTGAAGGAGATCACTGAGGAATAACAACAGTGATAATAATTATGATAATAGTCTTCCTAATATTGGCAGAAGCTTTACAGTTGATAGAATAATTTCATCAAGTCGTCACAACCACCTTGTGAGGTGATGTTATTTGCATTATCTCAATTATAAGCTGATGCTCGCTAAGATTTAGTGATGAGCTTGAAGTCACAGAAGAACAAACTGATAGACTGAGGGCTGCAATAATAACCGTTTTCACCATGAGCACTTATCATGTGCTGGGGACTGTGTTATGTGCACATCAGTTGAATATATTTTCTTAGTTGATTCTCTTGTTTCTCTTACAAATGGGTATTAGTGTCTCGATCATTTTACCTTAAAGGAATATGGTGCTTAGAAAGGGTAAAGAATTGCAGTAATGTTTTACAGTGAAGATAAGAGGCGGTTGGGATTTGCACTAGTTTCTTTGGATTCTGCCACTCTGCTGCACTGATCTCCCAAGAGATAAAACAATATTTGGGGCTGCAAAGTCCAAATATTTTCCCAGTGGTGGTAGTTAATAGTGTTATGAGTTCTCCATGATCCCAGATGGTGGTAGATGCAGGGCTAGAGGGTAAGGCAGTCCCCTTAGCAGACAGAAAACTCTAAACTGGGCGAGTGGTACCCTCCCTTACCACAAATGTGAGCTGTGCCCCATTTGTATGGTTATTTTTAAATGCCTAGCACAGTATTCAAACAGTTAAAACCAACCCTCTGGGTAGGATAACTGCTTTTCTCCCTGCCCATCTTTACAAAATTTTGCCTGAGAGACAGAAT